AGGAATGCGTGTCGGAGTTCATAAGCTTCATCACCGGCGAGGCCTCCGACAAGTGCCAGAGAGAGAAGAGGAAGACCATCAACGGCGACGATCTTCTCTGGGCCATGACAACCCTCGGCTTCGAGGACTACGTCGAGCCCCTCAAGGGTTATCTCCAGAAGTTTCGGGAGATCGAGGGAGAGAAGACCGCCCTCGGCCGCGGCCAGCCTGATCACGCCGCCGATGCCGTGAATCCCGGCGGCGGAGGTTTTGGTGGCGGCGGAGGCGGGGTGTATGGTGGGACCGGAGTGGCGCAGCCGGCGGCGATGATGATGATGAGTCATGGCCATCATCATCATCATCATCATCATAATCAAATTCAAGGGCATCATAATATGTTTGGATCTGGTAGTGGAAACTCCAGTACTGGTAGACCTAATAGATAGGTAGGGTTTTTTAAATTATAATTAAATGTAATTGGTTTGTGATGTTGATATACTAATAGCTCTAGCTAGTTAGTTTTTCCCTTTTCTTTAATCTTTCTTTTTGTTTTTTGTTTTTTTAATTTTAATTCTCTAGTGTTTATGAAAGATTCATGTGGATATTAAGGGGTATTTCTTATTGTTTATATTTTGCCTATAAGGTTGGGAAGAAAGAGTGAAATGGATAAGGTATCATTGGCGTTGTTCCTTTTTTGCTCATTCAAAACATGAAATACTTAGCACTTAAGTGTAGGCAAATAAATTATCAGAATGAAATACGTTTGTGAAGCAATATTATTTGTATATGGATAAAGTTGCTTTTTTAATAAATTTTCCATTTACTGGTGGCCGAGAAATAATACGATCCTTATCAGTTTTTAGTTATTAATTTGTCTTCATGTTCAAACCTAACAAGGGGAAGCCGACGAAGCAGTGAGAGTACACATCTTGTCTGATACGTTTTAACCCTTCGAAATTTTTGGCCTTTTCAAACAGAAAAAAGCATTTTCAACTGCGTTTCACTTTCCCCCTTCTAGAAAATAAATGATCTAAATAAATAGAGGTATAATATTTATTGAATATTACACTAAAATAAACTGGCTGTACACACGTATCAATGATATCACATGAACGTGAAAAAAAATTACATGTGCTTGACTGATTTGGATGTTGCCTGAAGATAATTCCGCTATATTTACTCCTATTGATAAACTATATATATATATATATATATATGTATATGTAAGTATATAGTAAAAGAGAAGACCAAGTTCCAACTTCAAAGCATTTCTTTTCATCATTGTTGTAAAGCAATTATAAAGCTTTTAATTTAATGTCTTCCACTTCAAAAGAGTGAGATATGGTCATATGAAGGTGATGGAAAGGACACTGAAACATTTTTGGCCGTGGTGGGGTCACTCTAAATGGTTAGTTGCCTTAGAGTTTATAGGTAGCTCTAACATATTGCATTTTCAGTGGTCCACATGATCACTATCTAGTTTGGGTTTGATTGCTTGCTACATAACTATATATTTTTCACAAAGTACAAAAAAGTTTCAAAAAGACGTACACACACATACAATATGTATAATATGTATGCTTTCTTTTCTGCAAATATCTAATGTATATATGTAATCTGCCTAACCATTATATATATCGTGACTTTTCAAATGTGCAAAAAGTAAAACAATTTTGAACGTAGTCCTTTCAGGTTTCCGAATGGTTGCGAATATTTTTTTATATATATTAAAATAATAGAAAAACGGTCCCCATATCACATTTTTATTTTAACAAATGCCAAAATAAAAAAAATAAAATTAAGAAAAATAGAGAATTTATCTCTGAGAGTATATGAGTCTGAACATTTACCATTTATTTTTAATAAATATCATTTTATTAGTGTAATTATTTAATTAAAAAAATTACAAATCAAGAATAAAATATAAAAATATTGATTCATGCATTTTGTAAAAATATTTATCAAAATTACTTATAAATTAAAATAGAAGACGGATATTGTTGAGTGCTACCCAAATGGCTATATATAGCAACGTATGGTCATGAATTAATGTTATGGCAGTCAACTCCTCTCGTACCCAATGATTTGATTGGTGATGAGTAGCCTAATTAACGAATAAATATTGGTGATGAGTACCCTATTTAATGAATAAATGTCGACTCGTTCACCGAGTTTAAAATTTAAATTTTATTATAATAAAATTTTTTTAAAAATAGTCACATTTAATTTTTTTATTACAGTAAAAAATTTTCATATAAAATTATATTTTAATTTAAATCAACAAAATGAACAGACGTATAATTGTTATATGTCCCTCATATGAGTCGCTGCGTTATTTATAGAATAGGTAATTAGCATAAACCTACGGCCTAGTGATTATGACTATATATATTGAATAAACATATCCATACTTAAAAAATAAAATAAAATAAAATAAACACACACACACAAACATATTCTGATTTTTGAATAATAAGGTTACGTTTTATTTTATCGATTTGAGTTTAAAATTTAAGTTTTATTATAGTAAAAAATTCTCAGAAACAGTTACATTTAATTTTTTTGCTAGCAAAAAATTTTTACATAAAATCACATCTTAACTCGAATCAACGAACTAAACAGGCCCTAAATTTTTGTTTTTTAAAAAGGCTAAATTTGTGTTTAAGTGGACCTGATCCTGATTAACATGTCACTATTGATCTAAATTATTTAATCCCACATTAACTCAATTGAATAAGCATGTTTCATCGAACCGATTAATTACTTGGAGTATATTTTATATTGTAGTTGCTTCTGCTTAAAATACACACACATGTAAAATAAAATATAAATTAAAAAGGTAAGACTTTCGCTTTATATAAGAAGCTCAAGGTGAACCAATTGTGCTGCAGTAGTTTTCTTGATAGCTCACCGTTTTTCTAATTTGTTTCCATTAAAAAAGTACAAAGACATCACAACTGGCCTATTTGTTAGTTTACCGATCCATCCTAAAATTGGGATGAATTGGTAAACTAACATGGTATCAGAGTGGGAGGTCATGAGTTCAAACCCCCGTAATTGTACTCTTTTTTCCCATTTAAAATTATCATCATGTGTTGGGTCTTTAATATATCTCGGGCTTAAATATTCACGTGTTGGGCTTTCTAATTAATTTACCCACACAATTGCCTATTGTCCAGCCCACACGTGAGGGGGAGTGTTAAAGTATAAAATTATTGTTGGCCCACCTCCTAACAGCTTAAACTTTTGGGATGGATTGGTAACCTAACACTATTAGCCAGTTGGTTAGAGAATAACGCGAATGCATGGGCCATAATTTTCCAAAACAGATTGAAGTTTTTGTTTTCTATTTTGAACTTGAGATCAACTGTTAACAAGATTGATCAATACAATTTCAAACTTAATGACAAAAGCAAATCTACTACAATGAAGAATCCAGTACTATTTGTAAACGTATGAAATTATAAAAAGTCTAATTATTTGTAAACATATGAAATTATTAAAATTGGAATCCTTAAGTCAGACTAATAATAATGTTTTTCTTTTATTTTTTATTTTTTCAAAAGTCTCGTATGACTAGACCTTGACTAGTTATATAATATTATTATTGCATGATATCAACCCCTTCTCATTGACGTACAAGGAGTTCTTGGCTTCCGTAAGTAGCCGAGAAAATCCTGCATAAACCCCATCAACTTTTGCCTTGTATATGTCTATGATTCGCTTCATCCATTTCTCGTGCTTTTGGACAAACGGTTGAGCTGCATATTCCTCCAATGGCATCCACTGCAAACAAGTAATCACATATATAATTATTGTGTGAGGGTGTTATCATTACATGAATATGTATCATAATATATACATACACACACACATATATATATATATGTATCTATGTATCTTGTATACCCTCGTACTATGAAGGTTTGTTCTGCTTTAGATTTGTGCATTTGATGAGCCATACATACACGTTTTATGTGTTGATTAGGAACATTGCTATAAGACACTAATTGTACTAAGTACCGTTCACTAATAAAATGTAGGTTCCGCAATGTAAGGCTTACTTTTTGTTAGTGATGGTACTTAGCATTGGTGATGCCATTAGCTATCCATAATTTGTTAAACCAAAGTTTTTTTTTTTTTTTTGGTATTCTCTGCTAACTTTTTGACTGGAAATATTACCGCGGCGGCTTCTATCTCTAACTCCTGGGCCTGAATGTCAAAGGAGAGGGGTCGCAAAATGCAGACAAAGAATAGATCAGACTTCTCAAAGAATAACTTGGGGGTTTGCCTGTAAATTACGTGAACAACAGCATTAATTAGTTACTTTTGACAAAGTATAACAAAAACAAAGGGCTTAGCACATGCACAGGCATGGTATTTCCGTATAATATGCATACCTGAAAGCTAGTATTTCCACAAACTCTGAATCAATCTGAAACAAAAACAAATTAAAACCAGAAAATTAGAAATTAGTCAAATTTCAAATGACAAAACTAATGTTCATGTAGATTACTGATTTTTTTTTTCTTTCCGAGTGAGCTATATCTAGATTTAATAAATATAAAAAGGACAGAATAATCACTTACTCCTGTTTCTTCCATGACTTCTCTCGTAGCAGCATCAGAGATATCTTCTCCCTACAGGGGGGAAAAAAGAAAAAGGAAAAAAAAAAAAGCCTTAAGAATTAATGTTTCAAAATTAAAATTTGGGTAGTGCGATCGATCTCATCAATGTATTCACCTCATCAACAACTCCGGTAGGGAACTTCCACACTCCTAAACCCCGTAAAGATCCAGCCTTTTCTTGCACAACTAGTACCTACAATTGGTGAAATTAAGGATCAAATTAGATTAGTTGATTTGGGCAATGCTCAAATAAGAAAGTTATTACAGATGTGAAATAACAATTAATTAGGAGACATGTTCTGGTTCATAACACATCAAACTTAGAATTAGAAGCTTCCAATAAACTTGGAAGCAAATCATATTTATGATGGAAAGACATCTAGCGAGAATTTAACACGTACGAGGGAAAACTTAAGAATACCTCTCGTTTTTCATTCATGACAAATGCGCCAACACGCACACGGTGTGTGGCATTTGCAGGAATAGTGTTCTGACTTTTTGGAATCCAGTACACAAGCATTATGTATGTTGGCTCAGCATGGTGGAACCAAAACCCTTCCTGTCAAAAGAATGGTACCAAACTAGTGTAAATAAATTTTCTACAATAACAGAGTATTTTTATGGTCGAGAAATAAAAAATGTTTCTGAATGTTGAATTTGGTTAAAATTCCATTCAAATAAAAAGTATACAAAACTGACAAAATATGATAAAGATGTAACAATTAAAAAAATATTTTAAATAACAGAGAGAAAGAAATGACAATCTCCTTTTATCATGGTAAGATATATACCAACTAAATAAACATAAATTATTAGACTGACCTTGACCGCAAATTCAACAAGATTGGCTAGCTGAATTGGCAATTTGATCCAGACCCCCTTCTTCTTCTACAAAACACGGTTGGACAATATTTTAAAACGTAAATTAACTATGTTTGTATAACTATATTAGATTAATGAAGTAACTACTATAACTGCTATACCTGCTGTCTCCATTGAGAAAGTGAAGCTTTGAGCATTGAATGAAAGACCATGGGATCCATTGCCTTATTCATTTCGACAATAACGCCATCAAATTCATCATCAATAGCAGCTAGTATTTTGCCATTTTGGACTCCATTTTCAGCAGATACGCCAAGTTGCTCCGCAGCCATTGGAGAAGTACTTGCAGGACTGGAATTTGATCTGATATTGCTAAAAGTAGCTCCAAGTTTATAACCTTTTAAGAAACAAGACACATTCCCCATCAATCTCTAAACTATAAAAGTATCCCGCTGAATAGATACGTATATACGTGCCAACAACCTATTCTAATGAAATATTGGAATATTGAAAAAAAAAAAAAGTTATTCCTTAGAACTTAGAAGGAAGATCCTGCTCCAATTCAACCCCACTAAAAGAAATTGACAAATAAAAAGTTGTCTCCTTTGAACCCACTTTGGACCCCAAATTGATAAAAATAAACTAACTACTCGACCGACCCACTAATCATGCATGCATATATACACGAATCCGAACATGGGAAACGTATTTTAACACTAATCAATTCCAATCACGTGGTTTTGTAAGATAAGAAAAATTTGACAAAATAAGTAAAACAATTTTCAGCATTCAAACAAACATTAGTTCATAAAGAGATCACAATTATTATGAAGAATTATGTGATGGGAATTCTCGCATTTCAGTGACGAATACAGTTGGAAGAGAAAAGATATTGAGAAGTACCTGGAGAGAGTCGCTTAATTGGTGCAATAATTTTTGCAGGTGAAGATGATTGGACAGAGAGAGAGAGAGAGAGAGAGAGAGAGAGAGTATTCAGAGCGATATTTATGGTTCTGAAACAGAGCAGTGAATTCGGTTGCCTCAAATATCTAAACTAAAGGCATTTTTATACTATAATTATTCTACCGCATGACTTTCCTTTTGTTTAGGCAAGTATTCGTTGATTCGTTCACTCATTCTTCTTTTAATCTATGATGACTGTGAGGCAACCGGCGACATCGTCCGTGGAATCGGGGCACCAGACTTTGATTCTTTATGTTTGATGTTTGAACGTTTTTCTCATTTTCTTTTTGGGTGAAAGTTCTGAACCCTTTTCTGCCTTTTAACATTAAAAAAAAAAAAAATTATAGTATTTTAGAGCCGTTTATTTCGCTAATTTAAGAGTTTTTTACTGTAATAAAAAAATTAAATGTAATTATTTTTAAAAAAATTTTATTGTAATAAAATTTAAATTCTAAACTCAAATCGGTGAAGTGATTAAAATTTTAGTATTTAATACATTTTATTTTTTGTTTTTTTGTTTTTTATTTTTGCCTTAGCCAATCCAAGACTTCGAAATGTGTGGCAGTTATCTGAGCAGCAGATATGGTCGTTATGGTTGGGTTGACCTGCTTCTTCTTCTTTTTTCTTTTCTTTTTTTTTTTTTTTTTTTTTTTTTTTTTTTTTTTTTTCATTGTTTGTTTACTTGCTTCCGCGTTTTTATCTGCATCTTCCGGTTGTCGCTCTCTCGCTCTAAAATTCTTATTCTTCTTTGACAAGTGCTAATTCTCATTCTTCTTTTTTTACTTGTCTGGTGCTTTAATTTTTTTTTTCTTTTAAAAATAGGACATTTTTTTTTAGAAAATTTTATTTCGGTACCATGTGTTATATTAAAATATAAGTTTGATATTCTCTATTTTTATAATTTTATGTCGGCGCTTTAACCTTTTAAAAAATCTTCTTTTAGTACTTAGGACAGGTTTTTAAGACAGGAAAAGACAAAATCACTTTTATTATTACATATATAAAAAAGGCAGAATGAGATTTTTTTTAGGTGTTTAGTTGTAGATCTAAGAATTTTTAAAAAGATTTTTTTTATATTTAATAATGAGAGTAATTTTGTCATTTCATGTCCTAAAAAATTGTCATGAAGTATGAAAAAAAGATTTTCTAAAAAGTCGAGGTACCGGCATGAAATTATTAAAAGCAAAAAATACTAAACTCATATTTCGATATAACACAAGATACTAAAATTAAATTTTCCCTTTTTTTAATATTTCGTGTTCATATATTGGTCTGTAATTCTTTTTGAGGTACATCCGATTCTTTTTTCTATATTTGAGGTACATATATTGGTCTGTAATATTTCGTGTTCATATATAGACAATATACTTTTCCTATATTTGAGGTACATCCGATTCTTTTTTCTTATTTAGAATCTCCGATAGGTTTGCTAACAAGCTAAAAACTACCTTCCTTCCACTTGTACAAGAAAACTAAAAACTACTCTTAATATGTTTTGAAATTTATAGTTTTTTGCAGTGTTTATTTGATATCTTAGTGACAGTTATGATTTAGAGCTTTGTTCCAATTATTTCTTTGGCTCTTTTTTCTTTAAAAAAAAAAAAGTACTTTCATCTTATATTACATAATAATACAATGTTATTCTTTTTTTTTTTAAGTTTAAAAATATCGTGCGACTAATTATCTAAAAGAGAGAAAAAAAAAAAAAAACGGGTGATTAGGAATACAAAATGGAGGTGGGTTCCAAAAGAGGAAGGTAACGCGGGAGGTGTTCGACTTCGAGCTTTGACCACTCTCATGGACGTTAAAAGGAAGATGTCTTGTATCTTCTGGTTATTTCTTCAAGAAGTTGCACGTATTCAATAATTTTCAAAAAGCGCGAATTTTTAACAATAAAAGGGTGTTTCAAACGTTCTCGAGTCCTAACGACTTGACCACGTACCAAAGTTTATAACGACTTGGTGACGTTAATTATGTGTTATCGTCATTCAAACAATTATGCTTAAACTTTGGGTTTAGGACTTTACGTGAGAAAGTAAGCCTGTCCACCTTTGTATATGAAGTATACTATTTTGTATAAAATGTAGGTGAAAAACACCACTATGTAATAAATTTGGTGATTTTTCTAATAAAAAAAGATTTAATCATTTGGCGCACCTCACGCCTTCATTCTCTTTGGTCATGAAAATCTCGGGAACTATCAAAAAATAAAAAAAGGCCTGAACTTAGATGGAAAGAGAAGTTATAATAAAGTATTCCTCACCACTACACTACAACCCTCAGTACATAGAGAAATTATTCAGTGCACCAAGTGTACCACGTCATCACGTTTACGTAGCACACTCGTCCAATAAAATATTAACATTTGGAATGTGATTTATCTATGTTAACTTTCTCTCTTATTATTCCTTAGATTGATTATCTAGTAACAAGTGCCATAAATATACTCTATTTGATATATTATACTAATTAATTTCAACTTTCAAATAATAATTATTTAGTGTTAATATTATTTTTTTTGGTTTAATTAATTCAGGAAAAATTCATATGATAAAATCTTAGCGTGTTATATATTAGTTTTATAAATGATTAATCTACATCTCTTTATTTGAGCCTTTTTTTTTTTTTCAATTTTCTTCTATTCGATGGCTAGTGATGGCATCGTCATTATAAAAGATATACACTATATATGCTGAGGTTTAACATGCTAATAGTCTAAAGCTAAAAAAAAAAAAAAATAAAAAAAAATGAAAGTAAACAAAGAGGAGATAATTAGAAGGTCAAATTGTGGTTTTTTTTTTTAAATTGATAAGATTGTAACATCCCGCTTTATATTTTAATAAATAAAACACTTTTATAATGATGAAACTATAATAAAGTACAATATAAAAGTTAATTTCAATGTTTCCGTACAACTCAATGTTTTTGTACATGTCGATCCCATGCTCTAGCATCGTAGTGATACAAATTATAACTATAAGTAAGAAGATAATAAAGTTTATAGCTATTAAGAAACTATCATCATAAAAATTAAGAAGGAGATTTTTTAGGAACATTTTTAATGAGTGAAATTTGTGGGTGAACGTGAAGGTTAGAAAACTCAATTATCTATAAGGTAAAAACTAACTATTTTTGACTGTTGGAATAATGACTAGACGATTTTGCCCATAGTTGTTATGAACAATATTCTGTCTATTGGAATAACCGTTGGGATTAGTGATAGGATGATTTTTGCCCTTATTATCTGTTGGAATAATTTTTTGACTGTTTGAAACAATATTTGGACGATTTTACCCTTGGTTAATATTTTGAGGAAAATATAATTAGAGATATCAATCGACATTCGAAACTATGGAGAATTATGGAGAAGACCATAAGGAATAATAGTAAATTCAGAATTCAATTTTGATTGCCCGATGTACTAGTTTTAAGAAAATGACATTTTGGGAATAAATAATTATATGGGTCGAGCTAACTTAATAAAATTTGATAGAAAATTTACTATCCTCAAGTGCAAGTCAATAATTATGATGAAGAAATCAAAAGTAAAAAAGGATGAATATAACGGGTTGAAATTGAAGTTTCATTATCGCGCCCAAATAGTGACAGGCCAATAAATTGTGTCCAACCCAAATAAAAAAGGGAGAGAGAGAGAGATTAGAAGGGAGTGTCGACAAGGATAATAAGATTATGTATAAATTATTATAAAAATATAATATTTTAATCAAAGATTACTATTCACAAATAATATTTTATCACGCATAATAACTGCATAATACTCAAGAGTTTTCCTATAAATAGGCCTTCAAAATTCATTATTTATTGTCCTAGATTTCAGAAACGAAATATTTCTCTCTTCCTCTCTCTAAAATACTTCTTCTTGGCGGAGGTTCTAGTTCTAATCTTCGAGATTCAGAATTCTACTGATAAGGTACGAGTTCTAAACTCGTTACTATTTACGCTTTATAGTTTTATTTTACTATGGTACTGCTTAGGTAAATAATCCAGGTTAATCCATTATAAGTTGTTATAGTGCTCAATTACCGTATACATGAATAGTACCTGTAAGCGTGATTAGTACCTGTATACGTGAATAGTTCCCGAATGCATAAATAGTCCTTATATGCATGAATAGTACTCATATGCGTGAATAATACCGTAGATGTGAATAGTATATGTACATGTGAATAGTATCGTATGCATAAACCATGCCGTATGACTGAACAATACCGTACTATACCCACGAATACCGTATATGTGAACTTTACGGACTCTAGACAAAGGACTAAAGGACCAAATGATTAGACCTAATGGACAACATAATAGGATAAATTTATGGACCTGAAAGTGAAGTAAAAATGGAATAACACTACCATACGTTTAGTTATTATTTAGTATTATTATGTTATTTTGGTTACTGATATGGTATTGTGATTGTTATTATATTGGTTAGAGTATAATTTCCAACGGGAAGCTAAGACATGCTATATTCTGGTTATAACTTCTCATATAGTATCTTTGCATCTGCTATGTTGAAGCATTGCATTCACTTTAAAGTTGAAAGATAATAGGAGATGCTGCCTAAGTAATTATTTAGAAATTATTTTAAGACTAGGTGCCTTCATAGGAGCGTAAAGCTCAACAAAATTATTAAGCCAATAGTTGACAATTAAGAAGTTAAAGTTTACTCAGGCAGTATTCTCCAGGGCCCTAAGATGAACAAAAAGCATAAAGTAAAGTATGAGCATAAATGAGTTTTAACTTTCATGTAAGATAATGACTTTGCTTACTGAGCTCATCAGTTTATTTATACATGTGTTATAGGTAAGGGAAAAAGTATATTGAATTAAACTGGAGAATGAGCAAGGTACCAAGCTGACGTGTTAATACATATGAAATCGACCTGCTAGGAGAAAAGTTTAAAAGGGGGCACCATTATATTTTGAATAATTTCGAGTGTGTATTTAAGACTTTATAGTGTGAATTTTTATGAACTATGTTATGTAACAAAAGTTTAACTTTATTTGGATTTTTGTGTAGTATGTGTTATCAACTATTGTAATATATTTGAATATTCTTATCTTTGTAATAGTTACATTATCTTTGTAATAGTTACATTTTAAAAAGGGTGTTACAAAGATCCTTCGTATTAATACTAGGAAAATATTGGATGCAGACTTACGCTTTATGTGGTGAAAGATGAAACAATTCAGATTTTTTCTAT